CGCTCTCCATCTCCGAGTCGAGCTGCGCAGACCAGACACACACCAACGTTCAGCTTTTTTTTTTTTCCCCTGGGGATGACGCAGGAAAACCGGGCCGCCGGTTTCTCGCGCCGCACGGAGGGGGGGTCGACCGCTTTGCGCCCTCACCTGCACCTCGCTGATGTCGTCCAGGGACCCCGACAGGAAGGGGATCGGCAGCCCCAGGATCTTGCAGGAGAGCAGGATGTTGTGTCTCTCCATCTTCTTCTGCTCCACAGAGGTTTCGAGGGACAAGACTTCTTTCTGCATCCTCCCGAGCTGCCTGCAGGGGTTGCGCCCGAAGGACAGGATCATTTAAAGAGCAAAGAACTGCTGAATAACTATTAATCTGACCGAAGACGTCTTTAACCCCCCTCCCAGGCACTCCCCCTAGGGCGTGGGGTTCCCAGGGTGACCTGCCGGGAAAGACGGGGCTCAGTTTTCCCAGAACGTGGCTTCACTCCAACATCATCCAGGTGGGGCTGCACACTGGTGGTGGTGGAGGGGATCCCCATTACCTGTAAAGCGCTTTGAGTGGAGTGTCCAGAAAAGCGCTATATAAGTGTAAGCAATTATTATTATTATTACCTCCATACCGGCACACCTTCTGGGGAATCCACAAAGACTTTTTCTGGAACGTGCCCATCCCTGGATTGATTTAATGTAATTTGCTTCTTGAAAAGAGTTCAAAAGGCGAACATTCGGAAACCGAAAATGGTATTCCCACTACTTTACGTACAAACTTTCCGATTTCTTTCCCCCTTAGGTGTAGGAAATCGCCCAGCATGACTAATTACCCATATAGAGGCCAGACCGGTCAAAAGACGGAACACTGAAGTTTCTTTATATACACACATCTAGCTCTCACTGCAGAGAAAATCAGGTCTTGAATGCACGCTTCGTTCAAGCAAAAATGAACCGTACGTTACGGGATAAGTGTGCCGATGACCCATGACCTGTGGGTGTTTACACTAGGCTTCTAAACTGTTCGTGATCCAAAAAAAAAAGTCTCCTACTGCAGCACCATACATAGCCACAGCATTAACCTACTGTCACGGCTCGTACCTTCTCTCGTAAACGCCCTGGCATTCCCACGCGTACTAGATCCCACGCACGCCCATCCAGGAACTCATTATCCGACCACGGCTCTCTCTCCTCGATATTGAAACACTCTTCACCTGCGCTCAACTACTGAGATCTCTTCCAGGGCCCTCTCGCCTTCCCGACCTGGTTCTCCTAGTTTCGCCTTCGCTCTTGCCCGGCGACTTGGGTCTGGCCTACTGGATTTGCTTTTGCTCGAACCCCCTTCCTCGCGGCTTCGCGTCGGGGCCCAACAACTCGCCCCTTTCAGAAACCCCCCCGACTTCCCGCGAGGTCTCCGCTCCCCCCACACTAACCTGGAGACCTCCTGCAGACCCTTGACCCTCCTCTCGGCCTCCTCCTTGGCGCTGTTCACTTCCGCGGTCTTAGCCGCCAGCCTGTTCTTCAGGTCCAGCAGGGCGGCCGTGGCCTCGTCGACGGCTCTCAACAGGTCGTCTTCCACCTGGGAGGAAGACAAACGGTTACCGGCCGCGTGGTGTACCTGGGCGAGGGTCCCTGACCAGGTGAACACCCTACCATCCATCCCTTTTCCTACCATTTTATCCAGCCCGGGATAACAGGAGAAGCCGAAGCCTATCTCGGTACGGAATGGGAGCAAGGTAGGACACACCCTGGAAGGCACGCTCGTCCGTCACAGGGTAGACCAACAGAGACACACACACACACACACACACCAGGGCCAATTTTCCCAGAAGCCAATCAACCCACCGTCTTGTCTTTGGACTGTGGGAGGAAACTGGAGCGCCTGGAGACAGGAGAACATGCAAACTCCACACAGACAGCACAGCCCGGGTCCAGAATAGAACCCTGGGCCCCAGCACTGCAAGGCAGCGATGCTGACCACTGTTCCCATGGTCCGCTCACCTCCCTAACATTTCTCCTAATACGATGCAGACCAAAATGGTGCAACTCTTATCAGCGATGCAGTTTTTAACGTCTAATTGGCAGATCCGGGAAACGTCTGTTTGTATCGGGAACGCACATTTCTAACCACATTATCTCAGGTCTCACAAAGCTCAAGCTCTGTTTATGACCACTGCAAAGGGCTGACTAATACCTCTTGAATAAAAAGAGACATATAATCTATTTAAGGCTGAGGTGAGGGTACCTTTTTAATATTTTAATATGACACTGTGTTTACTGAAACACTGTGACTTTTGATAACCAATGCATCGATATTAAACAGCAACCAAAAATGACATTGTCATACTTCTGACACGGTGCAACAAGAAACTCTAGATAAAAATAACCTTATGAAGTCAGAACAGTAGCCGATGGGGAATGCTGAGATAAAAGGACCTCTCTCATGCGAACCACTATGCTAATCGTCACCTGCTCCTTGAACACCTCACTGAAATTAAATGCACAGCTACCCTTTCCTTTGTGTATTGATAACGATCTGTTAGACACCCGCATAATAGCTCACTGCCTTCATTCTTTGGTTTTCAACCCTCAGTAGCTGTTTTTAGACATTTTCTGTTGCTTGTGTTTCCTTCCAAAAAGCCCTTTTGTATTCTGGGATGTTTTGTTTTTGTGATGGTGAAGCATTCCCCCACACGTCACACCAGCGCCAGGCGAGACAATGCTAAAGCTGCTTTCCTTTTACTTCAACTGGCAAAGCAGAAAACCAATCTGACCTGGAAATCAAACCAAGCAGATAACTGAGGGCCAAACTATTATACACGGATGGTAGTGGCTGGTCTTAAAGGCACTGGTCTTAATACAAGTGTCGAAACGAGCCGACTTTTAGCTCCAGCGCTGCTAGGCCAGATTCAAAGAAGCCGAATCCGAGCTCTTCCACGTGCACTGACCTGTCAAAGGGCTCCCCCTAGTGGAGGACCAATGTAGAACAACTAAACTGTCACGGTATGTCACAAACAGGGGAATCTACAGGGAAGAGAGCACTGCTGCCAACAACGAGAAAATTGGAGGAAATCAAAAATGTCCTCAGTTATCTCGTGACAAGGAGACAGCAGATTATGTTGTAATTATGAGATAGCACCTTCTCGCGTACTGCATGCGATCGGGGCGACACCCCAGTTGTGGAGTCCTGAACTGTGGGAATCCTACTCCGTTGGGCCCCTCAGCGAGGCCCTTCACCCCAACTGCTTCAGGGGCGCCGTATAAATGGCCGACCCTGCGCTCTGACCCCCAGCTTCTCTCTCCCTGTCTGTGTGTCTCATGGAGAGCGAGCTGGGGTCTGCGAAAAGACACATTCCTCATGCAAGACATTGTATCTGGCCAATAAAGTGATCTCATCTCTTACAATACCCACATTGTCAATATCAGACTTACAGCAATGGAATGGATTGCACGGACAGCTCTTCCTGGTTTACAGGTAAGTGTGACTGTCCTCACGGTTATAAAGACTGTTGTAAGAGGACCAGAGGAAGGGTCATCCAGGACAGGTATTTTAGGAACGATCTGCTCACTATACTTGACTTAGACCTGACCAAGATGGCCGCTAAGAGAAACCAGCTGACCCGCAGATGGAAAGTGCTCAGTCTGAAAAGACAACGAGACGCAGGTGGGTCTCATCGGGAAACAAAACATATATGCCCCGGAAACAGTGAACTGGCGCGGAAGCCAGTAGGTGAATGCGTTTTGGAGAAGATAGTGGAGTTTGGTTGGAGTGGACAAAGATTTAAGGACAACGGATTTACGGAATAAATAAAGGATAACGGTATACGGCATGTGATTTGGACTCGGCGCAGATTTGTTGGATTTTACGAACTTTTGGAACACGGTCTGAACAAGGACAGAGAAAACGGATTGCGAACTGGTTTGGAGGACAGACGGACGGACGAACGAAAGAAAAGGAGGAAACCTCACGAAAATAAAAGAAGAGTGTGTGGTGTGAGTACTTTCGGACTTATTACCTTTATCTATTCCCCCTGAGACACCACACTGTGTTCACAAGAGGCAGAAACTGTGACGCCTCGCTACGATTAAACCGCAGTGGAAAGCCGGACACCGTCGCGAACACTGAGCCCACGGCTCCAGCTGAGCTCTCAGCAGCTTCTAGGAGGGGACGGTGTGCTGGTGTACAACGTAACAGGTTGCTCGTACACTCAAATGACCATTGCTATCTTGCAG